TCTGACGCATTAAACTACTTAAAGTGAGAAACTAATGCTTCGTTTGTAAACATTACAAATACGAGAACAGTTTCAAGCTTCCTTTGTAAAAGCAATTAACAAATGACAAAATGCCTATCCCATTCCGGCATCAGTTACGTTAAATTACAGAAAACACACATTACATACTAGTATGTTAAAGCTAACTTGTAGTTAATCACAGTGCTTTGTTTGAGAGAGACAATCACAGTAAATCACAGCGCTGTGTTGGAGTATCGCTGGCAGTTAATCACGTTATCCAGCATCACTGGGAATGCACTCAGACCAGCAGTCGCTCCTGCCGTAGCCTGCCATAGGGCTATCGGCTACTTCGTCTTCACACCGTGAACGGGCTACTTTATGACAAAAAAAAAAACTTTGTAAACAAATTTCCTCCCTGGCGAAGAAGCTAAGAACAACGATGCGGTTGTAACTCTCAGTCGGAACCAGTGTTAGCCTTATCATATATCACAGCTCAGTGGTCAGAGTGTTCAGGCGAAAATCGCAACGTAGCAGTTGCTCCATGGATGTGGGTTACTGCACAGGCTAGGCCTTGAAATGAGCACAGAACGAATAACAGCTGTTGAAGCAAAATAAAGCTGTAAAGCAAGCTTTTTTATTGGTACAATGTACGGTTCTACAGTACGTAGAGTTTCAAGGAGCCGTGGCATGATAAAACTATCCACAGGGCGAAATGACCCAATAAAAACTCGTCCTTCAACTTGTGCTCTTCTTCCCAATTATCGTCATTACATTTCGATGCAGATCTTAGACTGATCCTGACGCTGACGTTTCTTGGGGATCCTGAAGCAAATGTTTCTGAAACATCCGAAGACAAAAAAAAATTTTTTTGTAACATCCAAAAGCATAGATTCTTTGAGAATCTTAAAAAAAAAATTCTCGGAACATCCCAAGGCAATGATTCTCGCGAAAACTGTTCATATACTTAAAAAAAACTGACGTCATTAGCATCATTAAATCTCTACACATAAGGAATCACACGAAGTAAATCCCATGATGGCAATTTTTTAGGGAACACTCGGTTCAATTAGCATCCATCAATATATTTTCGCTTAGTTGTTTTCAAAACGCGTGATGGACAAAACACACGATAAAACACTATAAACAGTTTCAAGAATAGGTATGATCAAGGCGTTAGAGACCAGGAATTAGTAAAACTGATCTATAATATTTAAGAGGCGTGGCCAGGACCTCCAACTCAACTCCTGAAAACACAAGCAAGTGAGAATAACTACAGGTAAATGAGTACAATTAGGAGAGTACAGACATTTGAGCACAGCGAGGTATGCTACAAGAAGCCGTTCACTGAATATTCACCAATCAAGGCTAACGTTCACAAGTTTCCTGTGACTAAAAAAAGTGAACGTTATCCACTGCTACAGTGGCAAGCCTCGTCCACTAAAGGCTTGTGGTGACCGGTCGCTGCGTGGTGTAGCTGTTGGAGCGCCGTCACCACTCTAACTTCCAGCGTAAAAAGCAAGAATATCAGACTGCGCTGAACTTTTCTCAGCGCAGTAAAATGCGAGAGGGGAGCGGGAGAGTAAAGGGGCAGAAGTGCGGTGAGAGAAGAGAGAAGAGGAATAGTGAAAAGAAGAGAGAGGGGAAAGAGCACGAAGGGAGGGTGAAGAATGGAGTTAAAGATGGAAGAAACGAGAGTGGGAGGGGAGTAACGAGAGAGAAGATGCCAGGGATCAGAAAGAGTGTGCTCAAACAGTGAGAATTGGGAGGAAAAAAATACCTAACTCGCGTTGTAAAGTCATCTTTTAGGACCTGATAAAGCTACACACATACAAGGAAACATGACCTGATTAAGCTACACACAGAGGCATGACGACGGTCTACACAGAGCGAAACATGACTTGATAAAACCCTACATAGAGCGATACATGGTTTGATAAACCTCTGCACAGCACAAACCATGTCTTGATAAAGCTCTACACAGAAAGATACCTGATCTTATAAAGCTCTATACAGCGCAAAATATGACATGACAGAGAATACATGACTTGATAAGGCTCTACATAGAGTTGTGCATGACTTAGTAAAGCTCTACAGACAACAAGACAGCTTGATATAGCTTTACACAGAGAGAAACATAACCTGATAAAGCTCTACACAAAACGAAACATGACTTGATACAGGTATACAGCACGAAACACGATATAATAAAACTCAACACAGAGTGAAAATGACTCGATGAAGCTTTACACTGATCGAAACATGACTTCATAAAGCTCTACACAGAGCGACACATAGCTTGATAAGTCGATGCCCTGCATAATATGCTTATAGAGCATAAGGCTCAAAACGTGAAAATGTCTTGGAAAAGTATAAAAGTAGGAGAAGGGAATGATTTGCAAGCTATGGCACAGTACGAAATGACTTACAGAAGCTTATTACAGGTGCGAGGGATAAGACATAGAAACGTGCAACAGAAGGATGTTCAAAGAATGATCAGGATTCAAATCCACCCGTGCTATATATTATTATATATATTTATTATACTATATATATAAATATATATATATAAATACTGATATAATATATATCATATGTCATGTATACGGTATATATAATATAAATATATATATAATACTATATTATAGATCTATTATAATACTATATAAATAATATACTATATATATATATAATAATAATATATTATATAATTTATAAGTCGTACAATAGTATAATTGGTCAATTAGGAAGAAACTCGTTTAAATTAAGGCTTTCTAAAATTTTCTTTTATACTTTAAAAATATAATTTTTATTATGTTATAAGATAATAATTTTGTAGCCTACAAAAACGAAACCTGATTGAAACAGGCCTAACCTATTAAACAACCGAAATTTAAAATACTGATGCTAATACCATAACTTACTATAAAATGATTTAAAGCTTACAAGGCGACTATTTACATAAAAATTCAATAATGAACAAATCAATCTTTATAAATTTGTCTTTAAGTTACAGATGATCTTTGTGAAAGTTATTACAACAAAATTTTCGCTTGATTATTCGAAAATTGCAAGTATTAACTATTCAACGATATACACACACAAACAAACGACAACACACACCGAACAACAGGACACTCCAACACAACATCAAATCACACACCCCACCACATACATACAACAACTACATTATATATATATATATATATATATAATATATATATATATATATATATATATATATATATATATATATATAATTTATTATATATATATATATATATATGATTCGTATTTGTTGTGAAGAGCATAACACTCACTGTTGGTTGCTTTTTCGCCAACTTCGCGTGGGTGATTTTGTGTGAGCAGACTTGGATGGAAAATATAAACCCGGGAATAAAGGAGAGAACGAGAGAGAGAGAGAGAGAGAGAGAGAGGAGAGAGAGCGAGAGAGAGTATTAGTTAAAGCGCTACAGCATCAACTGCAAAAGCCATCAGTGTAACGAAGGAAGGCAAGCAGACAGGTAGATTAAACATACATCTTTTGACAGGTAAATAGGTAGAGTACATGTAGGTAGGTAGGTAGGTAGGTAGGTATGTAGGTAGGTAGGTAGGTAGGTAGGTAGGTAGGTAGGTAGGTAGGTAGGTAGAGAGGTAGTTAGGAGGGAAGGCAGATGAGGAGACAGAAGTTAAACAGATAAAGAGGAAGGCATGTTGTTGGTAGAGGTAGAAAGAGATGGCGAGGGTGCTAATGTTGTGGCTCACGACAGGTAATTGCAATTAGTTAGAGAACATTATTATTGTTCTTGTTGTGTTGCTATTATTATTATTATTATTATTATTATTATTATTATTATTATATTATTATTATATATTATTATTTAAGGTTGACTTCTTCCAATAATCAATTAGTAGGACTCTTGTTGGTTGATTGTATCATATATTATTATATATTTTATTTTTTATTATTATTATTATATTCTTCTTAGCCCGGCCCTTGCTATCCACTTACCTCAACCCACTATGACATCCACTTACCCACAACACTCTTAGGTAAGGCAGCGCTGGCTCCTACTTTAACGTTATCAACCAATAATGACTCATGACACCCTCTATATGACGCTGTTTCTCGTTATCAGCCGTTAATGATCTCTGGCACCTTCTGTATGGTAGCTTGTCAAATAACAAGGAATTTTAGCCACGAAATTCCAATGAGCAATATTATTGTGGTCTCAGTAGCCTATGACATGATATTGCATCTTATATATACGTTCAGGTCTGTTTAAAGTAAACTAAACAAACCACTAGATTTGAAGTCACAGTAAAAAATCTCAGGTTTAGGAATTTGTGTTGTCTGTCACTTGATTATAATCAAGAGACAGACAACACAAATTCATATATATATATATATATATATATATATATATATATATATATATATATATATATATATATATATATATATATATATATATATGAATGTGAGTAGTCACGAAAGCGCTTGGAATTTCTCTTTCTTTCAGAGTGGTTGTTTTGCATATATTATAATATATATATATATATATATATATATATATATATATTTATATTATATATATATATATATATTATATATATATATATATATATATATATATATATATATATATATATATATATATATATATATATATATATAATATTTATTATATAATATAATAATATATATATATTATATATATAATATATATACGGAGGATGGAGCCACCAGCATTCCTTGCGCTGAATGATCGACACTTCATATAAATACTGATAATAGTGATTAAATCGTGGAAACACCCCCTGGCACAATTAATATTGAGGCACAGAGAGAAGGGAAAGTTCCACAACAAGCTTTTATTGGGTGAACGTTTCGTTCTGTTTAGATCTTTATTAAGTCATGACCTACTTATGCTTTACAGAGAACGAAACGTTGGAGGAGTCACTAACTCTCTCCAACAAAACACTGTCTGCGGGCTACTTACTGACGACGGTGAGGTTGACGTAGGCGGTAGTGGAGGGAGAGAGGCGATAGTCGACCCTGCAGGTGTAGACGCCCTGATCGCGGGCGTGGACGGGCTCCAGAGTCAGTGTGGGCGGCTCCGCTGTGGGCATGAAGAACGCTCGCCTGCCCAGCAGACCCTCGTCTGCCCACCGAACTCCTGAGGTGAACTCTCCCTCCCTAGCGTCGTAGCTGTCGGAGGAAAGAAAGAGCTTACTGGATTTCCCTCACAGTGAGAAATCGACTGGAAAACTGAAGTATATACTGTTGATGCAGAAGTTAGGCTAGGAATTTTAGTCCTGTCTATCAAAGGTCAACCACAAATCTGGAATTCAGGTTTGTATACCTTGAATTTCGGATAAAATAGAAGGGAAGACTCGGGACGTTGCTTAATGTATATTAAACTTAGAAACGGATTCTTGACTAGAAAAGATGATGCTAGTCTATGAAAACCTTATAGAACCTAGATCGGGAAAACTGGAATATTGGAACCTAGACTTGTAACATCAATAATACTAAATTCTAGATTATATTAACTAATTAGAAAACTGCAGATTAATAAAAATTAAGTAATTCAAGCCTAAAAATATACTAGAGCAATGCGAGAGAGAGAGACGGAGAATTTTAAGCTTACGTGAAATCTAACCTGTTCATTTAATTTAATTTTCAACTTAATGAATTAAATGAAAACCTTTAGGACCACCACGAACACTGGAGAACAGACACACTGGTGATCCTGAAGTTAGACTGACAGCTATATGCCACTCTTCTACGAATTCATTGCTACAGCCGAAAGTTAATCTGCGAAAATGGAACTCAGATTGAAATACTGTGGTTTTGACAGAGAATGTAAACTGCGGCTAGAAAATGGGATTTTTGTTTAAGAGAAGCAGCTTGGAATCTGCTTTCTTGAAACTACGCCTTACTGATTGCTTTCATTAAGGCCAAAAACTAGTTAAACCGGCCGTAATACTTGAACATTTACACCAGAAAGCAATACTGGTTTAATACTAGTTTAAGAATCATGGATGGAATACCGGAGAATTGAATTTAGAACAACTCAGAAAAACAATTATAAAACCTATGGAAAAGGTGTTAAAGTCACAAATGGAAGAAAATAAGTAACAGTCCGCTTCTGCAAGTCCATCTAGTCCCTATTCAAAAATAATAGCACTTCCTATCACCCAAGAAATAAATAGAGAAAGGCTGGATGATAGACTGCTGCGGTGACTGGAACTTCCAGCAGAGCGGAGACAAAAACTTTATCTTCTCGCCTGTGGAGTTGCTTGCAGAAACTTTCCTCTTCCCAGGGAGGTGAGAGACGGCCTTAGTCTTATCATCTTATCGTCTCGCTCTGCCTGTATACAAACAAGCTACTTGAGTTATCACTGAGAAACCACACTTCTGGATCTTGTGTATTTTTCCATTTATTCTTCCCATTTTTCCTGTCTTCGTGTCGTTTTAGTATTCTGAATTCTCATTTCTTCTTTACAGTTTTGTTTTCTTTTATGAACGACTTACATTAATAACAGTTTTTCTACTTGTCTTACATTTTCTGATTTTCAACATTTTATTTTCACCATTTCCTCATCTTCCAAAAATTATATTCCTTCTCGCTATCCTCTTTACTCATCTTCTTCATCCCCTTCTCCTCTTCTTTATTTTCTTCCTTCTCTTTTTTCTTCCTTTTTCATCATCATCTTTCTCTTCTTTTCCTCCTACCCACCTTCTCTTTCTCGCCATTTTCCTCCTCCTCTTCTCCATCCTTCTCCTTTCCCCTACACTTCATCCTCCTTCCCCTTCTCATTCTCCTCCACCTTTCCCTCCACACCTTCCTCCTCCTCTTCCCCCTCTATCCCCCACCCTCCTTGTCTTCCCAACACCGACAGAGCAACATCTACTTATTTGCATTAACGACCCCTAACCAGTGACCTTCAATTAGTGCTAAGCAATAAAGCTATCGGTGGCAATCCCAGCGGCCTTTGGTGAAGCAGTGTACTTCCAGCAGTGAAGGATGCAGGTTAGATTGGGTTAGGTAAGGTTAGGTTAGGTTAGGTTAGGTTAGGTTAGGTTAGGTTAGGTTAGGTTAGGTTCGGTTAGGTTAGGTAAGGTTAGGTTAGGTTAGGTAAGGATAGGTTAGGTTAGGTTAGGTTAGGTTAGGTAAGGATAGGTTAGGTTAGGTTAGGTTAGGTTAGGTTAGGTTAGATTAGGTTAGGTTAGGTTAGGTTAGGTTAGGTTAGGTTAGGTTAGGTTAGGTTAGGTTAGGTAAGGATAGGTTAGGTTAGGTTAGGTTAGGTTAGGTAAGGTTAGGTTAGGTTAGGTTAGGTTAGGTTAGGTTAGGTTAGGTAAGGATAGGTTAGGTTAGGTTAGGTTAGGTTAGGTTAGGTTAGGTAAGGTTAGGTTAGGTTAGGTTAGATTAGGTTAGGTTAGGTAAGGTTAGGTTAGGTTAGGTTAGGTCAGGTTAGGTTAGGTTAGGTTAGGTTAGGTTAGGTTAGGTTAGGTTAGGTAAGGTTAGGTTACGTTAGGTTAGGTAAGGTTAGGTTAGGTCAGGTTAGGTTAGGTTAGGTTAGGTTAGGTTAGGTTAGGTTAGGTTAGGTTTAGGTTAGGTCAAGCTAAGTTAGGTTAGTTAGTTAGGTTAGGTAAGTTAGGTTAGGTTCGGTTAGGTTAGGTTAGGTTAGGTCAGGTTAGGTTAGGTTAGGTTAGGTTAGGTTAGGTAAGGTTAGGTTAGGTTAGGTTAGGTAAGGTTAAGTTAGGTCAGGTTAGGTTAGGTTAGGTTAGGTTAGGTTAGGTTAGGTTAGGTTAGGTTAGGTAAGGTTAGGTTTAGGTTAGGTTAGGTTAGGTTAGGTCAGGTTAGGTTAGGTTAGGTTAGGTTAGGTTAGGTTAGGTAAGGTTAGGTTAGGTTAGGTTAGGTTAGGTTAGGCTAGGTTTAGGTTAGGTTGGGTTGGGTTAAGTTAGGTTAGGTTAGGTTAGGTTAGGTTAGGTTAGGTTATGTTAGGTCAGGTTAGGTTAGGTTAGGTTAGGTTAGGTTAGGTTAGGTAAAGTTAGGTTAGGTTAGGTTAGGTTAGGTTAGGTTAGGTTAGGTCAGGTTAGGTTAGGTTAGGTTAGGTTAGGTAAGATTAGGTTAGGTTAGGTTAGGTAAGGTTAGGTTAGGTCAGGTTAGGTTAGGTTAGGTTAGGTTAGGTAAGGTTAGGTTAGGTTAGGTTAGGTCAGGTTAGGTTAGGTTAGGTTAGGTTAGGTTAGGTAAGGTTAGGTTAGGTTAGGTTAGGTTAGGTTGGGTTTTAGGTTAGGTTAGGTTAGGTTAGGTTAGGTTAAGTTAGGTTGGGTTTAGGTTAGGTTAGGTTAGGTTAGGTTAGGTTAGGTTAGGTTAGGTTAGGTTAGGTTAGGTTAAGTTAGGTTCGGTTAGGTTAGGTTAGGTTAGGTTAGGTTAGGTTAGGTTAGGTTAGGTTAGGTTAGGTTAGGTTAGGTTAAGTTAGGTTCGGTTAGGTTAGGTTAGGTTAGGTTAGGTTAGGTTAGGTTAGGTTAGGTTAGGTTAGGTTAGGTTAAGTTAGGTTAGGTTAGGTTAGGTTAGGTACCATACCGGCGAACCACTTCGAACTCAAATGATACAGTTGTTTAACTATCAAAGTGCATTGATACAATTGGTTTTGTTATCTTAAATAATAAGATATTACAAAGACCCCCAATGGAAACAAGTCTCTCTGTCAGACCTTTTTTTTGGGTTATCCTAGGTAATATACACTATGTTTTTTTTTTTTATTATCACACTGGCCGATTCCCACCAAGGCAGGGTGGCCCGAAAAAGAAAAACTTTCACCATCATTCACTCCATCACTGTCTTGCCAGAAGGGTGCTTTACACTACAGTTTTTAAACTGCAACATTAACACCCCTCCTTCAGAGTGCAGGCACTGTACTTCCCATCTCCAGGACTCAAGTCGGCCTCCCGGTTTCCCTGAATCCCTTCATAAATGTTACTTTGCTCACACTCCAACAGCACGTCAAGTATTAAAAACCTTTTGTCTCCATTCACTCCTATCAAACACGCTCACGCATGCCTGCTGGAAGTCGAAGCCCCTCGCACACAAAACCTCCTTTACCCATCCCCCCAAACCCTTCCTAGGCCGACCCCTACCCCGCCTTCCTTCCACTACAGACTGATACACTCTTGAAGTCATTCTGTTTCGCTCCATTCTCTCTAATGTCCGAACCACCTCAAAAAACCCTCCTCACCCCTCTGGAAAACAGTTTTGGTAATCCCGCACCCCCTCCTAATTTCCCAAAAACTACGAATTCTCTGCATTATATATTCACACCACACATTGCCCTCAGACACGACATCTCCACTCCCTCCAGCCTTCTCCTCGCTGAAAACATTCATCACCCACGCTTCACACCCATATAAGAGCGTTGGTAAAACTTTTACTCTCATACATTCCCTCTTTGCCTCCAAGGACAAAGTTCTTTGTCTCCACAGACTCCTAAGTGCACCACTCACTCTTTTTCCCTCATCAATTCTATGATTCACCTCATCTTTCATAGACCCATCCGCTGACACGTCCACTCCCAAATATCTGAATACGTTCACCTCCTCCATACTCTCCCCTCCAATCTGATATTCAATCTTTCATCACCTAATCTTTTTGTTATCCTCATAACCTTACTCTTTCCTGTATTCACCTTTAATTTTCTTCTTTTGCCACCCTACCAAATTCATCCACCAATCTCTGCAACTTCTCTTCAGAATCTCCAAGAGCACAGTGTCATCAGCAAAGAGCAGCTGTGACAACTCCCACTTTGTGTGTGATTCTTTATCTTTTAACTCCACGCCTCTTGCCAAGACCCTCGCATTTACTTCTCTTACAACCCCATCTATAAATATATTTATACACTATGTATGATGATAAATTAGACACATGTGCAACTCTTGAGTATCTTTATTGAGGAAACGTTTCGCCACACAGTGGCTTCATCAGTCCATACGTAGGAGAAACTTGAAGAACAGGAGGAGAATGAGGTAATCAGTCCCTCAACCTTGAGTCGATGTGTTCAGTCCATCAATCTTGAGTAGAATACGGCATATGAGCGGAGAAGCAGCTTATAAACCGTATGGCAGGAGAGGTGCAGCAGTCATAGGTGGAGTCACATTTGTTCAATGTGGAAGTAGGTCGTGCCCAAGAATTAGGCAAGCGAAGA